TTTTGTCAATATATTATATTTTGATAACAGTAGACGTAAAGATACGTTGCTTATGTCTTTATGATCGATTGATAAGATCACGTGGACCCAACTGAATTTTGTTAGCATTGGTGTATTAAAATGAGATCTGTAATAGATTTAAATAGTTACTAGTGTACCTATAAAATTGAGGAGTTCTCTTATTCAAGAATCATTAATGGTTGCCAAAAAATATGGGGTTGCTTACTTTTGATGTTGGCCTATAATCCAATTATTAATAGAGTGATAGTTCCATATACTAGTTTCAACCATCGTCTCGCATATTCACACTTCAATAGATTAGTAAAAGATATTATAATACTGTTGAGGTTAGATTTCATAGCTCATCTATCACCGTACACGTGATAATTTAAACTCTGAAAGGTCACTAGATGAGTCATATTGCGACTCTCGGAGTGGACGTACCCTGCATAATCAGACATAGTAAAATCACCGAAGTCCTACAGTGGACGTATCGTGCATAATCAGGGGAACCATTATAAATTATTGTGTCTTTTTACTGTTTTTCATTTACTTTCACGTTTGCTAACGCTCTCGTTCTCATAGCAAATCAATTTCACTAATCGACGACTCTTAATCTAATCAATTGTAGATTTTACCCTCTACAAATACACAAGGAAAAAAAAAAGTATTTCAGTGAATTGGAAATGAGTTGGAAGGTGGATTTTCGACCAAAATGAGCGTATTTTCCGGAACCAAAAAAGTTGTGTATTGCACTTGCTATACATGTAGATTATCTGCTTAATTAGTCTCTCGTGCACCGACGTGTTTTGAGGTCTATACTTCCAATTAGCATTGTGTTTATACAAGATGATATGCCCCCCCTTGATTAATAATATGATAGTTTGGTATACAAACTGCCGAGGCAAATCTTTTGTGTAGATACTGTCTACTTTGACCCAAATAACTTTCGTTAAGGAGCATCCTTTATAGTATTTTTTGTATGGTCTATTTCCAATGTTGGTATTGAGTCTACACATGAAGATTTAGGGGGCGTTTGGTAGAGGGATTCGTTCCCTAATTCGAATTATGATTCGTGGTTCGCTACAGTATTTTCTCTCACAAAAAATACACGTAAATCGAAAATGATTCGAATCACATGGTTTGAATCCTCCAATCAAACGAACCCTAATTAGATGATTTATTTTTCTTATAGGTCCAAAACACTCTGTAAAATTATATGTGACCCTAGTCTCTCCAACACTTGAGCGCATAGATGTGACACAGTACTAATTGTCAAAACTTGCCCTGGTGCTGGATACCGTCCACCTTTTTTCCACCAACTTTAGAAGTCCCAAATCATGATATATATGTATACTAATTGAACTCCACGTGTAAAATAATTTGTGTGTTAACTTTTGATTATTATGCTATTAGTTTTTAATTCATTTAATAATAAAGATCTTAATTAGTTAGTTAATAAGCAATCGACACAAGCATTTTTATAAGTATCACCATTAAAATAACAAAAATTATATAGGAAAAAATTAAATAGGGAGACATTTGAAAAAAATATATTTTAATGAGAACAATTGGTGAAAAAACTATTTAAAAGTACATTACAAAAGGATTACATTGTAGAGAATCTTTTGGTAAAATGAAAATAAGAAAGCAAAAAAAAAAAAAAAAAAAAAAATTTACTTGTAAAAAAATTTTTGGTAAAAAAAAAAAAAAAAAAAAAAAAAAAAAAAAAAAAAAAAAAACACGAGCACACCTGAAAGAAATTATGTTAATAGGAGTAAAATAACGGAAAATCGCATTTTAAAATCACCAAACACAAACAAATTAAAGAGAACGCATGTATCAAATTTAAATAAAATGAAAAAAAAAAGTTTTAGGGCAAACAACAAAAAAAGTAAAAAAGACTAAAATAAAAAATAAATAAGTTTTAAAATAAAAGAAATCAAAATGAAAAAAATAAAATCTTAAGGCGAGGAAAAAAAAAGTCAAAGAAGGACCAAAAATAAAAAAGGGAAAAATAACCTTCAGGGCAAAAGGCGACGAAAAAATGAGAGGAAGACTAAAAGGTGAAAAGAAAAAAAAAAAAAAAAAAAGGTGCCAAAAATAAGAACAAAAAAGAAAAAGAAAAGAAAGACGGACTAAAAGATAAAAAGAAAGCCAGAGAAGAACTAAAAATAAAAAGAAAAGCAAAGGGAGATTTGGCTGAAAATTTTCAACCAAAACGCTATTGCCCTATTGCGCACCGCGTTTTGGTTGAAATGGTTGTGCTTTCTATACAGTAAAGATATATACAGACGAGCTTTTAAGGATTACGTGTTTTTATAATGGGTTATTTATCAAATATAAAAATTTAATAATAAGTCGTGATAAGAATTGAATCTCATTAGTTATTATAAATTTTTTTGCTCAATTATTTAATTTATTACAATCGTCCGATCAACATCTTAAGTTAAAATTATGATATTTATTAATGAGTAAATATTAAAATAATTATTAAAACGATACATGTATATATGTATATGTGTGTGTGACAGGCTCCATCCTAAGTGGTATCCTTAAGTATTCTTGGTAGAATTCACACATATATGGACTGTTTGGTTCATAAATTTGAACAAAAAATTTAAATATAGATTCAAATTTGTATAAACTTTTATGAAAAAAAGAAAGAAACACTATAATAGAAAGTGTTTGAACCAAAACTTATTGGTTCAAATTTAGGAAAGAAACAAAGGCTTAGTTAAGACTGACTTCTTGTCTGTAGAACCTGGCATCTCTGATCTCTCTCTTACCTTAATTATATTATCTCTTTTTTTTTTTTTTTCATGTAATGGGAAACCCTACAATAGTTAATGCTAAACGTGAGTTTGGTAAGAAGAAAAAAATAGCATATAACCTAAAAGAGATGTTAATCATGTCGTGTCATACTAATCCAACACATAATCGGCCAGGCTCATGCGTATTTAATGCTGTGTTTGGCCTAACTCACCGAAATTTCATATCATACTCGTGTCAGTCCAAGATTTAAAATTATAAGCCCAACCCAATCTATGGGTCTAAACCCATTCGTGCTTGTGCTTTTACTATGTTTGGCACAATAGACCTTTGGGCTGGCTCATTGAATTATTGAGTCGTTTAAAATTATCTTTTTATGATAAAAAATTATTTTTCTTTCACCATGGACCATTGAACCTTTGAATTTTTTTGTATTATAAAAAAATTTTGAACTGTTTTCAAATAAAAACATAATTTCATATGCTATTATTAAGCAAAAGCGATTAATATAATTCATAATTAAATATACGGAAGGCAATTTTAAAAAATGAAAAAAATAAGATCCATCGGTAGAGTTGAGAATCTAATTGTCAAAAGCAGTTAATATAACCAACGGGTATATTTTATTAAGGTATGAAATTTTTAATCAATTACAATAGATTTTGTTGATTGTTGCCATAGTTAAGATGAAGAGAATTGTGCAAATTATTTGATTTTTTAAGGTCAAATGAATTTTTTTAATTATTCAAAAATATGTAACAATAATATAAAATTATTAAAAAAAGAAAACAAATTATATTCACCGTACTGGCCCATCGTGCTCAATGAATCGTGCCGGGCCATATGTAAATGCCAATAAGATAAACTTGGAAGCTAGAATTCTTTTTATTGAATAAGGTTACAACTTTTCTCATAAACTTCATTCAATCTCACTTTAAAGCATTTCTAGTTAAGATAATTTGTGACAATTTCAAATTATCCAACAACTCATCTTTTAGAGCCAACCAATCATTTTATACAAATGTGAGTCTCACATGCACTTGTACTAATCAACTTTGTTAAAATTATGTCCCCTCAACTTGAGCACCTTCAAACCTTGCTTAATTCCCCATCCAATTGCAAAAATAATCTAAATGGAAAATTAGCCGCATTTGCAAATTATAAAAGGGTTCACATGGCAGACATACAACTCATTCCTTAGAAGCATTATAGAAATTAGGAATAAGGATAGGTATCACCCACATAAGACCAAATTCCTTTGACACCACCAATGCACTCCCGTGACCACCCCAAAATAGCCCATAGTAATGCCAATCTGCCAACTCTTCCGTTCACGGGCCCTATCCTTAGTGCACATTTGTGGGCCATGGTGCTAAATCTTATGCACATTTTATTAACCCAAAAATCTTCCACTTATCAAGTTTTCGTACCAAAAATAGTTCTCTCATAATCCGACTTTAGGGTCACAAACGGTATCTAAGCAAATCACATTGTGCTATGCCAACTGACTATATACTGTTTCATAGAAAAATACTTTAGGACACCAAACAACTAATAAAATGTGAGCTTCATCTATGCACCATATGTGTAGGATCTGTCTTCTATTAGTGTGTAGTGTTTGACACCATCACACCCCTTAGCACCTTTTCTATTAAATAATATGACATAATGTAGCTGGTTAGACATTATTTTAGACATAAAAAATTAGATAGGTGATTCAAATCCAAAACAAGTACTCACCCCCAAAATGCCCAAATCAATGCACAATCGAGTCCACTAAATGATATGGCATAATGTAGTTAGTTAAATATTATTTTGGACACAATGGACGTTTGGTTCACATATTCAGAATAATTCTCAATTTACGTGTGTTTTTTATGAGAAAAAATACTGTAACGAGTCACGAACCATGATTCGAACCGTATCACAAATCTCGTTACCAAACACAAGCTTAAACAGAAGATTCGAGTCCAAAACAAGTACCCACCTCCACAATGCCCAAACCACCCCTGCACAATCCTACGTGTACAAGGGCACCCTAAACTCTGCAGTCTGCACACAATCCACCAAACCCACATGTCGTTTCCTCTATATAAGCCCAACCATTCTCTTACATTTCTCCAACCAAGACTAGTCCTAGTATAGAGAGAGAGAGAGAGAGAGAGAGAGAGAGAGAGAGAGAGAGAGAGAGAGAGAGATAACATATAAACATCAAACATCAAATTAACATGGCAACACACATGAGCAAGAATCTTGTCATCATTCAGGCAATATTATTCCTCTCGGCATTAGCAATACTAAGTGGAGTAGGAGCCAATGGGGAGATGACGTACACGTACTCGTTTTGTCGCATGACGAAAGAGGGGTTCGGGTCGTGCCAGCCGTCGGTTGACAGGTCGAACCCTCTGCCGCCGTCGAAAGCGTGTTGCGCCGCCATCTCCAAGTCAGACTTTCAGTGCCTCTGCTACTTCAAAGACTCACCGCTCTTGAAGATCTACCAAGTCGACCCTCAACTCGCCGTGGATCTCCCTCGTCAATGCAACCTCGACGGACCCTCTTTCCGTTGCGAATAACTTCATCAAAATTTATATGTTTGTCATACGTCGTTTTTTGTTTTTGTTTTTTAATGCATGGCTGTTACTGGTTTTGTTCTTTTGTTGTTTGTTTTCCGGGTCTGTGTTTGAGATCGTTTGGTTTCACTGAGTAGTACTTTTCTTCAGTTTCGGGATCTTCTATATATGCCCGTGCTCTTCTACGGTATTGTATTGGCCTAAAAACTGTTTCACTCAACTATGTTTAGTATTTGATGATTTTCAATTCACGTGTTTTTAATTCATTCCAAACTAGAGGGATATAAAAACCATACATTCAACGCTAATAGCTCATGGCATCGGAATAAAAAAACTTTTTACTAGCAAAATAATAAAATAACATTTTACTAGCAAAATAATAATAATAATAATAATAATAATAATAATAATAACGATAATAATAATAAAGTAAAAGCATAATAACAAAAACTTATAATGTGTTTGTGTTTTATTGTAATATTGTTGCGTTCTTTATGAGAATGTTACCATTTTTTTTTACCAAAAAAAAAAAATGGTAAAACCTTTTTCTTTAACGTGTTTGTAAAACTTTGACTAAACTAAACTAATATAGTAATACTATGACCTTCAAAAGTAAACAAACTAATACATTAACTAAACACAACCCACAATTTGAATTTCGAAAGTGAAAATGATTGGGTTTTCGAAATGATTTTAGATGTGAAAATGTGTTATTATGGATCGAGTACAAACAGATGAAAATTTTTGTAGAATGCTAAGAAATATATTAAGTTATAGAAAGGTCTATGGTAGGGAGTGTTCTGTTCCCCCTACCAATAGGGTGTCTAATAAGATCCGTTCATGATAAAATGGGCTCATGTACCAAAATATAAAAGCAACAACACCCAAAATCCCTCTCTCTATACATTTCGATCAACCACACCTTAACTAGTAGGATAAAAATATATCCTTTTATCATGTTGTTTAATTTTGACTCAAATTCAAAACTGGAACTTGTTCAACAAGTAAACTGGATAACTTGCAAGGTAAGCAGTTAAATCCTAGAGGGATTCTCCTTAGGCGCACAACACTATGTGGTCCCACCAAATGTGTGTTCTAAAATTACATATTAAATAATCACCTTATTAAATATCTAATTATTTCTCAATTAATTATTTAAGTGATTGAATTAGAACTCTATAATTCAAAATTTCCTGTTAGTTGTCTTATAGAAATTACAAGGATGACGCGGGGACTCATGAACCTTTAATATCAAGCTCCAACAAAATTAATAATTAATCAAACTCTTTAATTAATTCCACTAATTCTGAAGTTACTCCACTATAAACTTAGAATTGTACTTTTGATATTATAGACATTTATTTACATATGTGAAAAGTCCATTTGATATAGCCACTACATATAGATCAATCCTCCATAATAATTCATAATTAGAGTTAGGTAAAATCCGTTAACCTCTTTAATTACATCTTTATCTTTGAGTAACATTGATTTTCTAATGAATATTATATTCATGATACAAATTCATGAACCAAGCTCATTACATATTCAAGTACGAATCAACCATGAAGAGAATTATTTATTTACTTCTTTAATTAAGAAGGAATGGATTCTATCTCGTAATATTAATATTTTTGGCTACCTAAGTTCATCATGTTTTCAAGATACAAGGAATAGGATTTAGTAGTCTCAAAATTCGTACTGAGTAGCAAAAGACATGACTCCATAAATAGAAGTCTGCTAATAACTCAAGATTAAGATCATTTTATATATGACCATCGGTAAATTATCATAAAGTCATATTGTGTTTTATTCCAGACCAACATAATCTCATTATGTAAAAAAAATTCATTCAATATCTCTCTATATCAATGATATGGATAAGCTCGTTCCATTCTTAATGAGAACGACATGTATTAATAATGTTTTAATTAAAGATTTTGAACTTTAATTAAATTCATTATGGACTCATTTCGATTATTATACTTAAACATTATCTTTTAGTATATAACACTTATATATAATATTTAATGTCACATAAATAATCATGAAATTTTCAATAATCATAAAGTATATAATATTATATGCACATAAAATAATGAAAGTTTTATTTGATTAAGTCAATAATATATCTTTATTACATCTCATATTTTAAGGACATAATTTTCAATAAAAATATCATTCTAATGTCTTGTAGTTTAATATATTTTTTCTTCAGGTTACTAAACTAATGTTCTGAAAATCTCATTGAGGTACCATGTTCTTCTAAAAAAAATATCATCTAAGTACTTAACGCCCTTTTTAAGACACAAAATGATGGAACTGCTCTTTTAACTCTTTTTACTAAAACTTGGATTTTTTTTTATTGTGATGAGAGATATATTATAAAAAAAGTGGGATATATAATGAATATCAGAGTACTTTAATGGGATTTTCTAAACATTAGCATAACAACTATTACATTTTTAAAATATCATGCTACATTAATTAAAAGGTAATGATATTTAAAATATTTAAAGGGATAAAGATGAAAGTAGTATATTTTTTAAATGCTTTTAAATATTTTAATTGACTTAACATGATATTATTGGAGGAAAACTGTAAATAGAAAAAATTATTTAGAGAAAATTATAGATTTGATCTCTTTTAAGTACCTGACTTACTAAAAGTACTTATTTTAAAACAAAAAACTCAACCCCTTAACTAATTTTAATTTAAAAGCTAGAAATATATAAGTTAATATTAAAAGGTTGAATTAAAAAAGGCTCCAAGGCGTATTTTTAAAAATTTATCTAGAATTTAAGTTGCGCTAGAACTAATTTTTTTACGGCCCATCTTCTTCTTGGGCTTAAAAGGGTGACTACAATGGGCAAGAAAACCAAAGGCCCAAGTACTCTACATTGTTAAAAGTCTCAAAGTTACGAGAAACTAGGGTTTTGCCGGTTGTCATTTCTCCACTTACCAAACCACTATATAAATACAGCGCATACGCCAACACTGACCAACTCATGTAAGCAAATAAGTCCCACCGGTCGAAGAGCCGGCGGCGTAAGAGATTTTTTTTTTTTTTTTTTTTTTTTTTTTTTTTTTTTCTTTTTTTCATTCTTTCTTGTCCAAGCAAAGCTCCTCATCTACAATTGCAAATTACGCAAAACTCTCAATACCACATGTTTGCGTTTTTTTGTTCCGTTCTCTTTTCTTTTTTCGTTTCAATGATTCGTTTCAGGTTTGTATTCTTTTAATAATCAGTTTGTATAAAAGTGCCTCCATAATCCCAGATCTAAGCTGAAGATTGGTGCTTATCTGATTCATGGGAGGCCAATATCAACTATGTCTCGGAAGTTTCGCTGATAAATGCCTATTTTCTTCCTGTTTTAGGCGTTTACTAGTAACTTTTCCGTACAATATTTCTTATTACGTCATTGAGAAATCTCACTCCAGATTTTTTCCCCTTTTTTATTTTCATTTTTTTTATTTTCAGGATATTATTTAAATTTATGCTCGTGGATGTTATAAATGCATAGGGTTTATATACTAATGCCAAGTAAATATTGAACGGATTAGCAAAAAAAGTGAATATTGAACTATTTGTTTTGCATATAATATATTGAACCATTTGAAGGTTTGGGTCAGTATTTTGGCAATAAATCTTTTTTTTTTTTTCCCGAAAATGAATCTAGTTTTACACATGTAGAGGGGTTTATTTATCACTAATTGAAAGGAAAGTGATTCGCAACTTCAATGCCGGCATATCTTCGAATAATTCGTTGGTTTTATTGGATTTTCATACTAACATTTTTATTTTTTTTATTTTTTGTAATTGTGATAATTTCCATGCTGGAATTAAAATAGACAATCAGTTCTTACATAACACTGATAAACCTTTTTTTAACGAAAAAAAGAAACAAGATTGAGAAAATTTGTCAAACAATAAGCTAAATAATTTAGCTTAGGAGGAACACATCTTAAATGAAAATAATGGTCCACAATGTCAATATTGATTGTACTAATCCAATAAGGCAACTAATGCCTTTAATGGAGGGATTTTTTAGTGTCGACGGTATAAAGTTCTTGAACGCTTCTAATACCTCGAATTTCATTTAGAATTGAATTGATCAAGCACTAAAAAAGTAAAAGAGTGACTAAACATTTTATCAAATAATGGAACATTATGCATATATATTGTGCTAGGCAGTGGTTTGGCTGAGTGGGGGCGGCCTTCCCACGGCCTAAGATTTAATGTTACCCAAATTAACTTTTTTCCGGGAGAATGGGGAAATAGCATAAATAGACAGGGTAATTAAAATTTATAGCAGATATTAACTTTAAATTTAGTAAGGCCTCGTTCGTTTCGCTGATTCGAGTTTAGAATTCGAGTTTTGCTACAGTAAAAAGCTCTCACAAACAATCACATCTAACTTTTTTGCTACAGTAAAAAGCTCTCACATACAATCACATCTCAACTCAAATTCTAAACTCGAATCATAAAACACTCTCTGATTCTCTCGCTCTTTCTCTCTCCTTCCCTTTCTCTGATCTCTCTTGCACGGCCTCCCTCTTTCTCTCTCCTCTCTCTCACTCACCCTCTCTCTCGCTCACTCTCTTTCTGTCTTCATTCTCTCGCTTACCCTCTCTTTCTCCTTAGTCTCTCTCTCATCCTCTATCACCAGCCTCCTTCCCTGATGGATTTCGAGACGATGAGTCGCACGGAGCAATGGCGATCCAATCTTGCCATTGACGATGACGCGAGCAGATCAGCGTCGTTGGTGTGCCGCCATCATCGCTGAAGAAGCTGATTAGAGACGTCGGTTCTGTGCGCGTGTGAATTTTAGTATTTGAATGGGGAATGTTGATAAATGCAAAATTTACCAACAAACAAATTATGTAGGATCAATCAAATCTAATTAATTTTGACGGATAACTGATTTTAATTGGAGTAGATGTGAATTCTTCAAAACTGATTTGAATTGGATCAAATGTTAATTTTATTTTTAAAATACTCAATTCACACCGATTCAATCTTTATATATTATATAAAAAATAAAAAAAATTTATAATTACATTATCGATCTAACATTTAAATTTTATTTTTTTTCTGTACACTTTCACACCAAATCGTAACGTCATAATGAAAACCTAAAAGAAAAAAAACTCTAAAGCTCATAGTCAATTCTTCTAAATTTATTACTCTGAACTATTTATATTGATTTCACGTTCGTAATACTTTTTTGTTTTTGGATTTATGGATATTAATTATTGTTTTTTTTTTTTTTTTTCATTTTACTTATATAAAAAAATCTAACAAATAAATTGAATACACGGAAGTAAAAATTAAAAACTGTACAAATTGCTCAAGCCCAAAACTGATTGGTCCAATCCAATTTAAACTAACCTCAATCGGATTGGATTGAATTGGATAATACATTTTGCATTGGATGGAATTTTTAAAATCAACCTTTGATTGGATTGGGTGTTATATAGCTAAAATAGGTTAGATTGGATTGGATGAACACTCTTAAGATTATGTTCAATTAAGTAAATGGAGGATTTACGTCGCAAATAATAGATTTATTTGTTAAACAGATACTTTCATGTTGTAAAAACTAAATTATTTTATGGTAAATTGACAATTTACACGGTAAATCCATTATTTAGCTTGTACATGCTTCATTTACTAACATAAAATTTTATTCAATTTGATAAATGGAGGACTTACGTAGTAAATGATAGATTTACCAATCAAACAGAGGTTTTGATGTTGTAAACAACAAGTTACTTTTTAGTAAATTATCGGTTTACATGATAAAATCGTTATTTTACGAAATATAGAAATTGAGTTTGTATAATAAATGAAGAATTTACAAGATAAATGCAACACTTACCACATTCACTCTCTCTACTCTTTCTCTCATTCTCTCTCTCATCACCATTGACAAACTCTCATCATCACTAAAACTCTTCTAAGGGGTAGTATTGAAACACCATATATTAAAATTTTAAAAATGCTATAAATTTTTATAGTATACCCTTAGTTTTATCTAAAAACAATTTTTATTCTTGAGTTTTTTAAAATTCAAAAAGTATCCTTGTGTTTTTAAAATCACACAAAAAGTATCCCTTAAGTTAACTTTTCTAGTTTAATTTTTTTAAAATGGCCAAATTACCCTTAGATATCCCATATATTGTCCAAATTTGTATTCAGTTATACCAGCTTCCAAACACACCTTTTAGTTTTTTTTCTTTATTTTTTTAAGAGACCCTCTTAGATTCAGGCATTCATCAATGTGGAGGAAATTTACAACACCAATTTGAACAAATTTTTTTAACCAACTTGCTAGAATTGCCCAGTGTTACTAACATGACAAAAAAAAAAAAACATCTTTTTTTAAAGATTTTATTTTCTTCTTAAAATAAAAAAAGAAAAAAAAATCTAGAAGGAATGTTTGGAAGCTGGTATAGCCCAACACATATTTGGACAATGTATGAGATTTTCAAAGACAATTTGGTCATTTAAAAAAATTAAACCTGATTAGTTAAAAGAATGAATACTTCTAGTCTGGTTTAGAAAACACATATGATACTTTTTGAATTTTAAAAAATCAAAGAATAAAAGTTGTATTTAAATAAAATTTAGGGGATACTATTTGAATTTTCTCAATTTTTATTCATTTGCTATTTATTTAAATAACTAAAACTATTAAGCTATTTACTACTTTAAGTTTAGGAAATCTGCTATTTTACTACAAATTAACTTTTTTCCCTTATTTCGTCCATTTGAATCTTTTTTATTTATTTATGACATTTATATGAAATGTTTAAAAATATTTCAATTATACCTAGTTTAACTTTTGAATATCTCATATTTCAAATTCAAATGGTTAAAATTCAATAATCAATGATACTATGAATTAAGTTCACAATTTGTGGATTGTAGAAATTAAACTTAATTTGATTTATTTGGAATAAAAGTATAAACATATCAAAATAAATAAATAATTATACTAGTATTTTAGTTTCAAACTTTGATTTCACCCATGCCCTCACTAAAAAAGTTCGCAAATAGGATTTATGAAGTTTTCTCAATCCTGTAGAGAGAATGTGCCACTTCCTTTCCTGGAGGTGGTGCTTCACAAAATACACTAATTAATCAGTTTAAAAACGCGAATTACATATAACATGATATTTATTCAATGTAATACTGAGTTGGAAGGTGTGAGAGTAGTTTAAAATAATTAAATTTACTGATTTCACACTCTTTTAGTGTTGGGACGTTATGTAAATATTATGTTATGCTTCCCATTTTTTTATATTAGAGGGATAATCCTATCGGAAGGACCAAATATATATATATAAAAGTTTGTTTCCTTGTTGATGAATTACAATCTTACAATTTAGTTTATTGGTGGAGATAGACTTGGATTTGATTGAGATATAATAAATAAGATTTCATGAACTATTTTAAACTCATATTTTTAGGTTGGGTGTTTTAGATTAATAATAGATTGAGATCTGAAGGTTTTGAATTAGTTTGCGTGCCGACCTAATCCGCAAAACATAATTCACAAACGACGAAGTTCCTTAGTTTAAAGTACTTCCAATTTTTTGACCGATCATTTTTCAATTTTTGAAAAGTGAAAAAATAAGACAATTAAAAAATCAAAATTCACCCAATTTATTTTTAGCACTTAGGCCCCCCGTTCATTTCACATATTCGAGTTTAGAATTTAAATTTTTCTACAGTAAAAAAAAGGGAGAAAGAGAGAAATAAGCCAAGACTTGAGATGAATTAAAATTAATAGGCCAATAGTTTACATAAGTTAATAAATATGCAAAATTACTGTTTTTGTCAATAACTTGTCTGGTTATAAACCATAACTTGGTAAGTTATTGTTCATAATTCACGATTTTTGTCCATAACTTGTCTGGCTATGAACCATAACTTGACAAGTTTATCCATAACTTATCTGGTTATGAACCATAACTTGATAAGTTATGGCCTATTAATTTCTATAACTAAAAATTGACCTATATACTTTCTTAAACTTTTCATATTGGCCTATTTTTTTATAATTTCCGTAAAAAAAAATCTTATATAAAGTCACATGGTTCGAATTAACAAACTAAATGGGCCCTTAAAACACAAATATCACATCACATATGACATGTTTGTTGTAAACATGCAGCCCTACATGGGGACAACATGCAACACAACGTAGGGGAATACAAATTTTCAAATTAATTTCTGGAAATTATTTGAATAAGTATGGAACAAGATGAACCTTAGGATGTGTTCACTTCACCAATCAAAGTTTTACAATTTGAGTTGAGTTATGGTTTAGAGTTAAATAATTTAAGCTCCAGTTCCTAATTAATTTAGTTAACTCAGAATTTAAGTAAATATAATTACCAATTTTAGTTTATTGTAATAAAAAATTAAATTATGTAGACATTTTAGAAAGCTTTTAATATCAATTCCAAGCTTGCCTGCCAACATAACTAATTCATATAAATTAACCCTCCACAAAATATGCAAAATTAGAGCAACGTAAATTTCCGTTAAATCTGTGTAAGTATTTCTTTCTCTTTGAGCACTATCGGTTCTCTAATAGATAATATAGTTGTGATCTAATTATAAATATAAATGGGTTTTGTTTGATATCTGTTACGCATCGTCTAATTATTTCTATTTTATTTATTGCAATGATTTAGGATTAAATCATTCCATTCCTAATAATAGAAATAGACAACAATATAATCTTATCAAAACAAAATGCCTGACTTTATTTATTGATTAATGTAAACTATAATTTAAAGTACATCCTATAGTTATATCCTTTTCGTACGTTGATGATCTGGTATAGTTACTGAGCCTTATGTTGTTTGCTAAGGGCATGTTTGTTTAATCATATTAAAGTACCGTATTGTATAATATAATAATACAATATTTAGTGTGATAATTGTATTGTATAAACTAATATCGATGCTAAATTAATACAATTTTTATTATATTATTGAATACAACTCCTTTTTAATGTATTGTATTGTATCATTTTATAGCGGATTTATGATTCATGTCGGGGTTGGACACACAATTAGTGATCGGGGTCGAACGAACATGGAGTTATACCCGAGCTTATAATTGTTTAAAAATTGAAGGGCACACTGCAATTTTATATTTTTTAAAAATTACATTTTGGCACCTCAATTTTTATAAAATTATATGTTGATCCCAAAAATTTTATAAAATTACATTTTTGAGTCTAAAACTTTTGAAAAATTATATTTTGACCTTAGAACTTTTGAAAAATTATATTTTTGATCCTAAAATTATTAAAAAATTACATTTTGATCCTAAAATTTTAAAACTTTATATTTTGACCCCTTATATAATATGTCATGACACCAAATACCGTATTGTATTATGAAAATACAATACAATACAATAAATCTTATACAATATAATACAAACTACTAAACATGCCTCAATGTATAATAGTGTACAATTTAAGGGAATTTCTCCCGTACGCCTTTCTTTTTTGACCCTACCTGTAGGCTACTTTTTTAGTTGCCATTGGATTAAGTGTCGTCTAGTTGAGAATAATATTTTTATTGCAATATTAAATGCACTCACTCGATCTTATCTCAATTGATGGGCCTACCGGTAGGGCCGAAAAGAAGGGTGTATGGAAGAAATTCCCTAAAATAAAAAAGAGTAAAAAAGAAGAATCTTCTCTAATAAGTCAACGTATCAAAAAGTCAAATTTTTTTGATCTGTATAAAATCACTAATAAAAAAGAAAAGTAAAAAAGAAGGGATCTTCGTAAGCCAACATATAAAAAAGTTTAAGTTTTTTTTATCTGTTTGATTGTATAAAATCACCTAAAATTTAAAAACTATTCAATAATAAAAAAAACTTGACTTACAAGTAAATTTTGAAAAAAAAAAAAAACATAAGGCAAGGAGTGCTGACGTCAGCCTAAATAATCAAATACAATGAGAAACGCATATAATACTTAACGAAACCAACCAACGAAACTTCTTTATTAGAAAAACGCACTCTCTCTTAGATATTGGTAATAAGATTAATGAGTGGCATAGTAGTAATCATAAGCTTACTCGTGTAACTAGTTTCTTAAACAGACAAAATCTATAACCACTTAAAAAACACACCCAAAAGAAAAAGAGGTTGACTTCATTCCAGCCAACCATAGAAAAAGAAAAAGAAAAAAATACAAAAGTTCGCTTAGATATAGCTATCTTATTATAATAGATATTTCCACAATCCTAGCCATATTGTATATATTTTAAACTCGTAAACATATAGCATATAACCAACTGATGATGATGACCAACCCTCACAGAGCAAAAATGGGAGAAGTGCTTCGAAACTGATCGGCCTTAACGTTCAACTCCACATTAATTTTATTCTCTTCTTCATGATCACCACCACTTAAAACCTGATCCTCCTCGAGAAATTCTCCAACAATCTTCAAGCACGGCGTCAGCACAACCTCATTCCACGCCGCCGCCTTGTCCTCCGCCGCCCGCCGCCTCTTGAACACCGCAGTCGGGTCGATGCGGTGCAGCTCCCATCCGAGCTCGTCCCGGAGCCGGCGAATCTTCTCCACCTGGCGCCGGACGAGCATCTGAGTCTTCAGCTTCGTCTCTTCAATGGCAGGCCTAAGAAAAACCTCCTTGTCAAGATTATTACCGTCTTTCAATTGTTGCTTCTCCGACAAGAAATACTCATCCATCTCCGGAACCCCAATGGCGCGGCGGATCCCCCGCGAGTAGTCCAGTCCGGGTTCGAAATACTCGCGGATTTCTTCCACGAGGCCGGTCTCCACCATCTGGTCAACCCGCTCATTGACGTAGTCGAAAAGGACCAAGAGCTCGACGTCGAGCCAGATGAAGCAAAGGCTGTACTTGGCGCGGAAATCGGTGTCTACGAGCGCCGCGAGGTAGGAGTTGGAGCCGCCGACAACGATCGGGGTCCGACCCCTCCCGGTGATAATTGAGATGGATTTGTTGGCGTGGCAGCAAAAGTCCTCAGCGGTGAATTGGGCGTCGGGGTTGGAGATAAACCCTAGGAGGTGGTGCGGGACGCCGCCGCGCTCGGACTCGTGAAGCTTGTTGGTGACAATGTCGAGGCCTTTGTAGCACTGGATCTTGTCGGAGTTGATGATCTCCGCCGGGAATCGGGTGGCGATGTCGACGGAGAGCTTCGACTTGCCGGTGCCGGTGGCCCCCATGATGAAGATCACTTTCGGCTTCTTGGACATCGTCATGGAGGGCTTCATTTTGGTGACAGTGCGATTGAGGTTGCGAACTAATTTACATCAAACCAAAGAACAAGAAGAAAAAAAATTAAAAAGTGAATAATGACAATAAATAAATGATACATAGGATAATTAGTATCAAAGATAGGAAAAACATAATAATAACAAACAAATAGCAGAGTATGTAAAATAATACATTAAATTACAAAAACAATAGGTAAGAAAATGAAAGAATATTTGAGAGATGTTGATAGGTAGATATTTGTTGAGTTTTTCCAAATTAATATCATAAGAATTGCAATTTATGGAGAGTATTGATTGCAGATTGGTTGTTTAGTTAAAAAAAAATAAAATAAAAGGTACATTATGCATTTTGAATGATGATATTCCACACAGTTGAGTTTCAATAGCAAGAAGAAGGAAAACAAATGAAAAAGGGTTTTCCAGATCATCATCACATATTACGCAAGTTTATATATACATACATACATACATATATATATATATATATAATACACGCACAAATGTACTGGCACGTGAGGAATTAAAAAAAATTGTTTATTTTCTCTTCCCCTTTGTCATGTTTCTTTTGATCGTTTTTATGGTGGAGTTTTTGTGAGTTTTGATCTATTTCAAATGATGATTTATTCAAGCGCATGACACATTGCAAACAAAATAAGTATCAAGGCCAAGAAGTATATTACAAAAAAGAAAAAGCGAAGATGTAAGAAACAGTATAAAAAAACTGAAAAACATAAACAAAAAACCGAGAATAAGACACACGCACACACACACAAATATATATATATATATATATATATATATAATACTTTTAAGAGATTTTAACAGCAAACAATAGAATAATCCGAGGAAGCATGCAAACAAAAATCATAGATGCAATCTAATGCATATCAAATTCAAGAATACTAGTCATATGATCAGAAATGTAGAGTTCAAATGTGTAGTACCTCAGAAAATATGATCTCGGCAAGAAATTTTTTGTTTTTTGCCTTTTGGTACACGGAGAGGGCTCTAGGGTTCAGCTAGTAGCAAAATTGTGTTTCAGACACTGGAATACACACACATATATATAACCACTCTTGCCCCCCGGGCGGGTATGTTGTCTAAAACATTTAAGTTGAAGAAAAAAGATGAGAAAATATAATCTTTCCTATTTCCTTTTTTATTATATAGAAAGTCAACTAATACATATGAAAAATGCATATCTGATTTGTTTCCTAATGTAACAAAAATTTTGCCACTTATGCATTTTCTCTGATATTGGGGTCCTCTATAGGGAGAAGGTAATTTAATGCTTAGTAGACCGTAATTGTATTTAAGGTTAATTACATTTTCATCCAAATTACATAAGGCAAGACTGTTACACAGGATTAAACAGGGAGATTATGCTAACGGTAGCTTCTAATTGTGTTTCATATTAATTAATGGAGTTAACAATATGAGAAATTAATTGAAAATAATTAATTCACAGATTATACTTGTGAAACATTTTCTCCATTTCACGCATCCTACCCTAATTATTGATTAGGAATTCCATGAAATATCTGAAAGCTGATATTTCTTATCTGCTGGGTTTCGATTTCACTTATTTCCATCTCTGATTTTTTTATTCAGTACTCTTTAAAGGCCCTTTTTTGGGTGCTACTATTGTCTCGGATTGACACCAAACGTGAGATTAGTAAATTGTACATATTGGATTTTCTGTTTTTAAAGAAAAGAAGTGGGCGTTTGGTTCATGGATTCAGAATTATGATTCAAAATCATTTTCAATTTACATGTATTTTTTGTGAGAGAAAATATAATAGTGAGTCACGAACCATAATCCAAACTATAACACGAATCTTTGCTCCAAACGCAACAATTGTTTCATAAGATTGAAATTTATTATCAAATAGAAAAAAAGAAATTCAGTTGAACTTACCATATATATTCACCATAAAAGGTCAAAAAGGAAATAGACCATAATTTCTATTTTGATTTCTTTTATTCGTCGTCTAGCTATTTTATTCATTAGAGATTTGTTTCCTTCTATATGATAGAGTTCTCCCACCCTAACCTTTTTTTTCCTCCCTTTGAGGGGACCTTAAAAATAAACAATATACTTAAGCACTTTTTTCTAGGAGTATTTTGATATATATTACATAAAGAGAGAAAAAAATCACTTTAGCATCCTATGTTTTTTATAGTATAAAATGGTAACTTCACATTTTAAAAAATGTCATCCTGCTATCTTGAAATCATTTTTTTGGGCATGATATGTCTTTTCTATTACTTTTCTCTTTTTTATTCAAGTGGTTTGAAATTAAAAAAAAAACTAAAAAACATAAGTAAATATTATCATGTGTCCAAATATCAATGAATGATAATTTTGGTATTTTTTCTTTTTCCCCTAACTTAGACCAATTAAATAAAAAAGGAAAAAATAACGTAAATAAACCAGTTGACTAATTATACCTAGATTAGCATACTTATCTCCTATGATATCACATTAATCGCCATTCCTTTAGAAGGCTTTCCTTTGAATCATACGCAATTTTTCTAGAAAAAAGAAAAAAATCTTGACCAAATTTCATGATCATCACTGTTGACGGTGAAATTTTGTCAACAGGATTGCGCTGGGTCATCCCTTGGTATCCCGTAGGGTTACCGGCCTGATATTGGTGTATATTTGAAATTATGCTTATGGAGTGTTTGAGTAAACTTTGTGATGAAATAAATACGAAAGTATTGCTTGAATGGAAGTAGAGACACGAAGTTTATAGTGGTTCACTCTGTTAATTAAGAGCTACATCCACTGTGTTCTTGTATATATTTTCTCTGTTCTCCTTACATGTGAAAAGAAAAAGATCCTTCTTGCTCGGGGCTTTGCCCTCCTTTTATAGCCCACGTTTACTTCATGGGCGGTTTTGCTGTGTAGGCCCATCACTCGAGTGCCTACTACCCTGTGGGCTATGACCCATAGATTGCTAATCACCTTTTGGATTGTTCACTCATCCCATTTGTCCCCTATTACGGCTTTGTAGATTCCCTATAATCCTTCCACCGTCCACTGTTGGGCGGTTTAGGGGCTAGTAATTAATGCATGTACTGCAGACATCTTTCGAACCCAGACGCAACATGTTGTCAGATATCCTCCCCAAGGTACGGACTTCGTTCTCTGTTTTGTCTTTGGCATCTAGGCTTTTGCAAGGCGTAGACCCTTATGGCGGATGACCCCTTGTTGGCAAGAATTGCACGCCATCCAAACGGTCGACGGCATAACGGGTCGACCGCATGCAATAGGCTTCATTATTTCAACATGCGAGAAGGAACGAGCTCCAGACATCGAGAGTCACCTGATGCGAGGATGAGAGGACCACGTGGAATGCTATCGCGATTCGACACGTCATCCCACATTTTCCCATACAACAATCACTACTCCAATAAGCAATATTTCTTTACGATAATTCAATCTCGAATAGAGCATTCAATCTCGAATTGAGCTTTATCTCTTGGCTCTTATCGTAACTACGTTAAAAAAATTTGGGTCTGAAAATGGAAAAACTACCCAAGTGGCAATTTCTTTTTTTTTTTCCCTTAAAATTAAGTTCAAATTAATATTTAGGAAAACTTGCGATCTAGGGCCTGCGTGAAGGATGTCAAAGACGAATGGAATATATAACAACAATACCAGCATAAACAACCATTAATCACCATTTAACTAGAAAATACCAAGATGAAAAAATATATATTATTTATACTGCTTTACTAAAAATAAACAATTATCATTCAATTAATAAAGATAAAATAAAAGGCACTAATAACATTTAATTATTTAAAATGACAAAAATAATAAGATCTGTACAAAATCATGACAAATCATATACTTTTCTCAATATTATTAAGGATTCATACTCCCAAAACCCCACAGCGCCAAACCAGTATGAATCCTTATTTTTTTGTTAAATAGTGATTAATGGTTGTTTATATTGGTATTATTGTTATATAATCCTCTCATTTTTAAGATGAATTCTAACAGAATGAAGTGAGTATTTAGGGGTTGAGTGCAAAGTGGTAATGGATGTCAAATTTGGGGCACAAATATGAATAATCCTAAACTAATTTTTATTCTGTTATATGGGAAAATGTGCGCTAACACGTGGGACGGCGAAAACGCTCCACGTGGCTTTATGTTTGCCACGGCAGATAGCGGTCGACGTCTGGACCTTGTTTTCTTCTGAATGATTGAGAAGGCCAATCGTACGGGTCAATCCTCAGATCGCTGACCACTTAAGACCGTTGAGGCCTGTATGACTTGCGCATTGGAAGCTCCACGAGATTCAGCCAAGCGAAGAGCCTAATTCCCCGGTATAGACGTCGAGGGCAGGATACGGGTTGCAAAATGCCTCATTAAAGACCCCTGACACAACAGTTTGCGCCTCATCCAAAAGGTGTCAATGGCGCAGGGATTAATTATGAGTCCCTAAAACCGCCTGTAATGGACGGTTGAGGATTACAGGATCTACAAAGCCGTAATATGGGACAAATTGGATGGGTGAACAGTACAAAAGGTATTGACAGGCTATGATTTGAGCCCACAGGGTAATAGGCCACTCGAGTGGATAAGCCTACAAAGAAGAACTGGCTACGAAGAAATCGTTGGGCTATAAAAAAGGCAGAGCCCCAAAGGATGAGAGGATCTTTTTTTCATGTAATCTTAGAAGAACTATAGAAAAGAAATATATTCAATACACAATGGATGTAGCTCTTGATTAATAGAGTGAACCACTATAAAACTTACGTGTCTTTTGCATTCATTCAAGCATTACTTTCACATTTTTAGAATTGTCATACCACCAAAAACCCTACAGCAACAATACATCAAACATATATAACGTTATCATGCCGGTAACCTAAGAGGGTACCTAGAAGTAATCCGGCATAATTCTGTTGACGAAATTCCACCGTCAACAATTGGCGACTCCGCTGGGGACCGAACCTAG